TCATAAAGCGTGATCTCAGGCTCAGGTTCAGAGAAGTGGACCCTATTTACTGGAAATAAGGCTTTTCATCTTAGTCCTTAGGTGTGACAGCGCCTCTGTATTATTATTTTTGATCGAGGATAGATCTAGATGTCTATGGGCCACAACATTCTCGTATTAGCACGTGAACTGTATGTTCGTTTGTAACCCGTTGTTCTTCTATAAAAAAGTAATGATGTGAGACTTTGCTGTAATTTTTTGTTGCAAACAGGTTTCAAAGCGATTTGATAATTATGAAAAATATTCAAGAGTACTAGAGTAACAAACATAATCCACATGCAGATTAAAAAAAAGGTTTTTGCGAGTAATTTGTACCGTCGGCAGCATTTTCAATGCGGCAGAGTACTATGACTAAAGTAGGTGCAGGTAACACTTTGCTTTGTAGCTTTAGAAGTATGAGGCTGTTTGTCGATGAGATGTAATTAAAGAATATCGTCATGAAAAAAAAAATATTGACATTAGTAGATTTTTATTACCAAAATCACAACAAGCTTCATCAATGTTTAAAACAAAAATTGACGACGCTGGTTATGGATGAAGTGCATATTATATATTTATTATAGTTAAAAGAATTTTCGTATTTATTAATTAGGCCACGATTCCACCTGACGGTAAGTGATAAATTAGTTCTGAATGATAAATCGCACTAGCTTAGAAAAACCCTATTAACATTTTTTTATAAAATAAGGGTGACAAACGAGCACACAGTTCACCAGATGGTAAGTGGATGCTGTGGCCCATGGACATCTACGTTTATCCACTATTAAGAATCAAAACGCAGATGCGTTGTTACCTCTGAGGACTAATATGGAATGCCTGGTTTCCAGTAAAAAGGATCACCCATTCTCTACAGTCACTATACGAAACACATCAGCATCAAGAAGCTATTTTACACTAGTGTTCTGTGAGAGCGTGATCCTTCCCCGGTCTACCGATCCATTCGAGCTACAACCGTAATAGCTGCAGCGTGGCTTTACCACGTATAAAACCTCTTCTCTTTAAATACTCTTGATATAAAAACTGATGTTAGCGAATGATTTTTTAAAGACTGATGTGAAAAATGTGCTGTAGCTGCTTACCAGTAGCTGCTTACCAGCAGGTAGATTGTATACCTGCTGGTAAGCAGCTACTGTAGTACGCGTACACCTGCAGTCAACCTTGAACAAAGAAGGCTATATATGCGTTGTTGAGGTGACACTAAGAGGTGTGTACTAAGATGAATGCCTCTCGGCTTGTAGTTATTCTGGCTCTATATACCCACAGCAATCCATTTATTGCCTCAACCTATTCAAACCGCCAAGTAGTAGTGAAGGTAAGAGGATTGTACTATCCCAAACGGACCCCTAAGCAAAAAATTGGCCTCACCATCTAGAGAGAAGTACTTCATTTCTTTTCTGTACGAATAATAAGCGACGGAGTAAAACACTTCTTCCGAATGTTTGGATGTCCGATGATGAGGTAGGACTAATATCTAAAAAAAAAATGGCAAAGATCTTAATCCAAAAAACATAATATGCTAGTGCTTTTAATATTAAGATTGGTTTGGTTTTAAACGGAGCCCTTGTCACAAGCTTGAACGCAAAAATTTGGGCTACACTGTGCTATTTAGATTTCAAAAATGTGCGACGATGCTGTGGTCACGCCATAAGCGATACGAGATTAAGCCTAAATCTACCAGAGTATTACGAAAAACTCTAAACGAATTTTTCGTAATACTCTGGTAAGAGCTCCGTACTACCGTATGGAGCGTTAGCGTCTTCCTAAGCTGAACATCTTGCCCGGTGGGAGATTTCCCCTTTTCCTTGCATAGCCAAGGAAGCCCAACGTAATGTGACGTGAAAACGCAAACTGCAAACTACAAAAAGATAAACTTCAAACTTTCATCATCGTCCTCAAGGACTCTTTTGCATTCGCTCCCGAGCAAAAAGCTGTAGCAAGTCTAGCTTTACAAGGCTCATGACAGCTCTGGAATATTTTTTTTTATGTGCGAGCAGCTATGCAGGTCTAGGGAAAGAGACCAGTATCACTGCGAGCTAGAAGATCTATTGTGATCGCTGCTATGGCTATAGTTCACGGCTAAGCCCTATGTCTTCAATGAATAGGAGGTGCTTAGCCGTGAGCAATTTCACTTCTTCTGGGCGGAGTAGATAGTTTCCCAGATGAGTGTTATGTTTGTGCATTAAGGGTCCGCAATCAGTTAGGATGTGTAGAGGCGTTTCTTCCGTTATGGAACAGAACCGACACATCCTTGAGTTGCTTAGTCCCAGGATGGACTGGAATAACGTTTCCTGTTACTTTAACTACTCTCTGCCCTACAGTGTTCGGCACGACTCTGGGTATTACTGCTCATCTCAGCTTTACGGCACTCTAGTAGATACTCGCCTTGTTCTCCACTCAACGCAGGCTACAAGGCTACTCTGGCACTTGCATCTTTGTTGAAAAGGACTGTACGACAGTGCTGTCGTCGCACCATAAGCGAAATGAACCAAGAGTACTGTTGTAGTTTCTGAAATACTCCGATACTCCGCAACGTATGTCGCTCCTCGGGCTGCACATCTTGCCCGGCGTCATCGTCAACAGCTTCCCTTTTTCTTGCACGGCCAAATTTTTTCAAACTTTTTTATTACTATTAGTTCTTAATCCTTTTCAATTCTGTACCTCTCGACAGCTTGGAAGATTAACCTTAATTAGAGGGTATTTTGATTTAGATTTACTTGACGTAAAATATTTGTGATTATCATCTCATTTGATAAACATTTTAAAACTTTAAAAACTTTATCAGGCATTGATCATGAACTGTGATGATCACAGAGAGAACACAAGGTCATAGTTATGAATTTTAATATATTTATATTGTTTTTTTTTTCATTTATTTGGGTCAACAAACTATTTCACAATAAAGTTTAAAATAATAAATACACATCAAAATGAAATAATTATGAAACCAACAACGTGAACCTACAGATTAAATTAAATTAAATGTGAACATATTGCGTGGTGGAAGAGCTATATATATATATATATATATATATATATATATATATGTGTACTTGGCCGTTTAAAATCGTTACTAGAGCGGATAACAAACCCATACATTTGTTATGGTTTTTAATACGTTTGCACAATTTCGCGAGTGAAAACTGAATTATAAAATTATTTTTCCTATCCATTGATGCATGCATGCTGGGTATGTATATATAAATATACATACCCAGCACACATACAGATTAAGCGTGTAAGGTCAAAGATAGCAAAAAAATAATAATATTAGATGTTCGTTACGTGATAACCGCTTGAAATATTGTCAATAGAGTGACTCAAAATCAGCTTAATTTGCGCAGTGGTTGAGCATTTCAGTGTGGCGCTACGGGCTGCTGGTTTTAATTCTGCGTGGGAGAAGTGTTTGTATGGCCTACAAATACTTGACTGGATCTGGACGTTAGTACATCTGGAATTTATGTATGTTAACCGTCTCCACGATATCGGAGATAATGCTACCGTGGAGTATGTCACGTAGACGGTTGTGGTGGCTTTCATTGTGAAGGATACCATCCTCATTTAATTGGCTATTTTATCTTTATTTTATGTCTCACATATGTTTTATATTCCGAAAGCTGCGATTATTTTGATATTATCAATGTTAGTCATGTGATCACGAGCGAATGGCCTGGTTAGCGAAACATTTTTAACACGATGGCACGTGGCTGTTAATTATTTATGATATTTTTATCAGTTCAGTCATTCAACTGCTTATCGCACTTCAATTGTCGTTATGACCTGCCCGAGCGATAAAATAGGAAGTAAATAGGATTCCCAGAAGCATGACAGAGTAATTAAACGTTGATGTAGATGGTATGTTGTTAGATGTTCAGTAGCTTGAAGGGGGTCACATAATTTTGTAGATTTATTAATTTGTAGATTTAAGGGATGGACCGAAGGGAGAGTTAAGCGTTACAGTGGTCCTTTAACCTACTCTTACACGCCCTACGGAACTGTGGCTTCCTTTATTGCATTTCTAGTGTTCTTCAAAGAAAACATTTTGTCAGCGAAATATTTTTACGGTCCAATTAATTGTAACTTTTTAGCTCATACTTAAAGATATTATTTAAAGTTATTAAAGTTAATAAAAAAAATTCGATTATGTGGGCGGAGGTAGCGGAGGTCCGGACTGCTTTTAAGATTGGGCCTGCCAACGTATGCACAAATGTTGGGAAATGCAATAAAATGTACTTTCCACATAGTACGTTTTATAATATTATAAGCCAGTTTCGCATGGGGATTTCTAGATTTCACCAAAGTTTTATCGTAATCTATATCTATATTTTTGGGATGCATAGAAGATGAACAAGGAAATAAACAAACAAAATATTCGCTTATATAAGCGATAAGAGGCAATTGAAAAAGGAGATGGAAGCCACATCCTTCTGATAACAATTCAATAATAGTAAAACATCTGAAGCTGCCAATCTGTCTATCGAGATTGGCTATGATTTTTTGTAAAACTAAATGTTTTGGGGCATAAAGGCATCATTTGGGAGAGGCCTATGTTCAGAGATAAACTTTTGAAAGGTTGTGATCATGATGATGATAAAAATATATTCGTAAAAATATTTTTTAATCTCATGTTATGTTTTTAAATAATCTATATTGTATCTTGTTGCGAAAAATAAATTTTACAGCATAATACATTTTATATTTCATATAGGTAATATTACATTTATTTGTTTTAAACATTAGATCCATCATGTGAAAAATGTAGGACAATGTATGCGAGTGGGATGTTTATAGTTTACCACGCGTGACGCTCACACTCACAGTCACATTCAACCGTAACCGTGGAGATGACTAGAGCGGTGCTACAAAATTTTTCAGAAGATAAGGTTGAGAGTTTAGGATGAATGCAACGGCGAGGTGCAAGGTGGGCAGCGGGTAGCGGGCAAGGGACAAGTGGGTACTGACCGATGTGCGCGGGCGGATCGGCCGCAGGTGCTGGCGGCTCGGTGGCGTTGGAGGGCGGAGGCGCGCTCGCGCAGGCGGCGGCCGCGGGCGCCTCGGGCGCATCTTCCGCAGCGCGCGCAGGCAGCGGCGGCTCGCCGGGGGAGCGCAGAGCGCGACCAGCCGCAGCAGCGCCACGCACCACCAGAGCACGGCGGCCAGCGCGCGGGCAGCGCGCCCGACGTGGCCCGGGGCCTCCTCGCGACCAAAATACGCGCACCGTGGAGCTGCTCGGCTAGAGCGAGCTCCTCGCGCGGCTGCTCGTGCGGCGTCGGGACGGCTGGGACGACGCGGGTGCGCGCGCGCGGCCACACGGCGACTGGGGCGCCGCTCCCGACGGCGCACGACCGCGCCCGAACACTATTTCGGGAGCGACGCTCCGCACCGCCGCCGCCCGCCCGCCGCACGCTGCCAATTTTACGCGAAATTGCGGGCGGGCGGTGATGCGATATGTGCCGTGGGCCGCGGCGACGTCGTCGACGAGGCCGCCGGGCTCTCTTATGGGGAGAAAGTTTTTTCATTGAGAGGGCCCAGGGTGAGCGGACTCGCGCTGTCGCCACGTGTGCCGCTCCTCACTAGAAATAGTCGCCGGTAAACGTACTGCGGTCCGTGTCAATAGATACAATGTCGCAGCAACTGGCAAGGGAACAGAGATTCGCACTAGCTCACTGTCTCGCGCGTTGTGTTGTGAATTCTTATGCACGGTTAAAATTAGACGTAAAATTATTTCTGATATAGGTAGGTGTTTGACATTACGTTGAACTCTTATTCGTCGTGAAGCTCCACCTGTATAAATACTCTGTTTTGCCTGTGGCTGCAACTGTGATAATTTTGAATGAATTCTTGATGCTTGCTTTGCCAATCTAAATAGTTAACATTTTATTACACGTACCGTTTCTTTCAGTTCTAACAGCATTCACAAAGGGACTATTTTAACCAAATCAAATACATTATCTTTAATGTGTTAAAATGGTGATGAACATAACTATCTTAGGATGAATTATTATATTAATTCATTAACGTACAATGTTATTTATATAAATAATAGAAAAAAAACTATGAATAATTTGAATGTTAGGAAATAATCTAAATTAAATTGTAAATTTGTATAACTTGTAAATAATGTAAAAAACAATATTTTGTTTGTTTGAAACAATATATCGATACATCTGTCTCATTATGGATATGTAGGTAGTAAGAAGCTTGCTGCCGTCAAATGATATTTTAAATAGAATCAATTATTTGTACTTGTCAGACAGTATAGTACGTTGTTAAAAAAAATTATGAAACCGCACGCAAAAAGGAAGATTACTTTTAGTACCTAGAACCTATATTATATATACATATACATATTAAAATAATTTGTTGTAACCAAGGAAATCATCAGAAGATATATTTCAACATTTTATTTATTTGTTTTCAATTTTTATGTAGTGTGACGGCCCAATATTATTATTAATAATTAAATTCAATATAAAGGGGCATCAAAAATAGTTTTAAAATATACATATTATAAGCAATAAAATTACAATAATAAGCATAAAGTTAATATAAATACATTTCAGACATTAGACCAATAACATACCTAGTAAATAAAAGGCAAAATATTGTCTTTCATAATAAATAAATTTATTTTAAAACTTGCAAAAATATTTAAAATATGATAAATAATAGAAATATAAGTCGAAAATATTATAAAAATAAAGATAAATAACATTTATAAGATAATTAGAAAATTTGTTAAAAATTGTCAAGTCATGGAAGGAGTTCATGTATAAAAGAAAATTTTCCTAAGTTGTGGAAGGTGTTCTCGTATAGATGTCTTGTATGGAGGAGCTGCCGGAGATACATATCTGCAGTTGTACATATATATGGGGTGGTCGGGTGCCCGACTGCTTGAAGTACTGTAGCATAATGACTAGTCCTATATTAGGGACTTATGATAGTAAACTTAATTATACAAAAGCAATACTATAGAAGGTCTCTGTGATGAATTTGCATTACAATAGTAGGGTCGTGGGTTGAAGACCTATATATTAATGACTTATGAAAGTTGGGTCTATGATACAAAAGCAATACTATAGAAGGTCTCTATGATGAATTTGAATTACAATAGTAGGGTCGTGGGTTCGAGTCCTATATTTGAATGACTTATGAAAGTAAGGTCTATGATACAAAAGCATTACTATAGAAGGTCTCTATGATTAAATAGCATTACAATAGTAGAATCATGTGTTGAAGTCCTATATATTAATGACTTATGAAAGTAAGGTCTATGATTCAAAAGCAATATTATAGAAGGTCTCTTTGATGCATAAGCATTATATGGGGTGGTCGGGTGACCGACTGCTCTTAGTATTGTAGCAAAATGACTAGTCCTTATTAGGGACTTGAAAAGAATTATTATGGTGGCGTGTATGCTGCTTCACGAGCAATTGGTCCAAGATAAACTTGGACTCGCTAACCGATGTGTCCTAGACATATCATCTTAGTGTCGGTGGTGAGCGGGTTTATTGTAGCAATACGGCTTTCCCGTGGACATCGCACAAACATACCGTTTGTGGGCGGCGTCGTAGCGCATAGCGATGCGTCGTCTATCTTTCGGATTGGGATGAGTGTGTTTGGTAGTACTTTTAAATGTAACAGGCACACTCAACTTCATGTCTTAGTGCAGTAGCACTGTGATATGTGGAGTTTTGTTCATTGGCGTCTTAGTAGCGTGCTACTATGATACGTTGGTGATATTTTTTAGTTAACAACAATACAAACTTTGTTACCAAAGTCGATAGGGGTCATGTGGGTGTGTTGTGAGGGGGGCGCCATCCGTATGATAGTTGCATTGATGCTTACTGCTTCTTGCAGTATTGCGTCTTGTGATGGATCTGCGGGTGTGTTGCGCCTGATTCGACGCACTCTTGTGGTTCTGGTAGATGGAGGTATGCGGGTGGTGATGTCTGCTGGGATGTATGGGGGACCTTGGGATGGTGTAAGCCCGACGATAGTCGTATTGATGCTTGTTGCGTTCTGCGACATTGCGTCTCTGCGATGGTTGTTTTGTGGGAAGCTATTCTCAACGGCGCTCTCTGCGTCTTGACTGCGTTTGACTCACACCTAAGTAGCTTTGCCCAAGTCGGGTCCCTTCATAACCGGGCTGCAGACTGTCTGCCCTCCACGATGTTTTATATAACAACATAATAATATATCTCTGTAACTTTCCCATCTTTGAATGATAGAAGGCAACTTGTTGGTGGATGAGACAAACATGATCGAAAATGCATTTACTCAACGTCAGTGATACAAAACCTTTCTGATGACAAATTATTACTAACATCTTATAACTGCCTTTTGACTATATCTGTCGTTGTATTGGTGGAGCACATATGCCACATATGTCGACCTCATGCGGGTGGTAGCTGGCGGGAGGATCTGAGGAGACTCTCAAGGCTGCGGCCGAAAGCCGCACAACGTGGGACCCCATTACCTTGAGGTGAGCGGTAGACTCATGACACGCTCTGCGTACCATGAGGCATGCCATACACTTACATCACGTCTGCAGGAGCGGCGGTCTGGCAGATGGTGGCGCTCACGGAGGTTTATGGCCATTCGTGTGACGTACATTCACTGTGGCTGGATTCGTTCGTATTCTGTATGGCGTTTATACGAATTGACATGCGCTACTTCGGTTAATGTTTGTGCTTACGCACTAACAAGGGGCCAAGCCTCTTTTACTGGGTTGCCAGTTATTTTGCTGTGGACTACGGTCCAGTTCCCGAATTAGCGTTCCCTGCGGGGGGAGTGCATCAAAATGGTTGGCGCTCACCGCGCACGGCGTGTGTGGAGCCGTGTGCCTCACCTACATTTTTAAATAAATGTATATAATATATAGATATAGGATAATTAATAATAAATTAATAATGCAAACCTTATACAAGTGGAATAGGGACGTTTTATGTTCTTAACCTTTCTCGAGCCCTGTCTTCGTGAACGGGATTCACTTAGATTATAAGGCACTACCAACAGCCTTCAATTGCTCTAGTGAATATTCATTCTTCCAAAAGACACCTAAGAGAACTAAGTTACTAAACAAACACAACGTAAATAAGGGTCCTAACTAAGACGATCACGCCAAAATATTACAAACAGCCTATTATTAACCTTTAGAAAGATCATTTAAAAAGATCAAAACATATTTTATTAATCCTGGTCACATATATATAAAATTTTAAAAGGGGAACTAATTATATTTAATATCTAATATATTTATGCGAAGAGGGGGGGTGGGGAGCGTTACAGTAGGAACTGTTAAAATGACACCCGTACCCGTGTAAGTAGCAATATAAGAACATTGACTACCCCATATCATCCCGTGGGTGTCGTAAGAGACTACAGAGGGAAACAAACCATGGGGTGTACAGCAGTGCCCGCCTAATAGCTACTAAAAATAAAAAACTGCAGTTGCCAACCCGCTTGCCAAGCGTGACAGCTATAGCAAATATCCCGATTTACAGATGTTTGATGAAGACCATGATGATGATATGATGATAAAATTTACAAATGTCTATACTAGTAGCTCATCTAGTGAGGCTTTATAATAAGTTTTATAATGAATGTAAATTATTCTATAATCTTTGTTTTCCTTTTAGACGAATTTAACATTATTAAATTTTTTGAACCTTTTAACCCTTTCCTGTTGCTTGTTACCTAATTTTTATTGCATGCAGTATTCAGCTATAATTATAATAGCACTATACTATTTATAGCATTAACTATTCGAGTACGAATTTCAACAAATACGTAACAATAATGGATTACAAAAGGCGTAACATTTTGTTGTAAAGGAAAGCGTCGCCTTTTGTGGCAATATAGATGAGAATCTATTCAAAACAATATAAGTAATGATTTCTTATATTTACGCGAACACTTGTAGATTTATGCTACTTACATATCATTTTACACTATTTTAAATTTATTTTTCCATTCTGTTTTTGATTTTCTGCATTCGCCTCAAAACTGGATATTTTGCATCACCTTTATTTCCATAGGATCCTGTAACGTTTTTAAACCATAAGAACACAATAACAAATCATTTTCACATCGTATTTTCACGCTATCAGCACTTTTTAAATCAGTGTCAATTGAGTCTACCTTTTTCGATCTTTTATTTAGCTCTCCGTAACTCTGCAATTTCGGGCTTCGTGCGCACTGTTGCGCTACCTTTTTTCCTATATCAATAATATCTCATTTTTCACTTAAATCTTGCCGTTTCTCTATTACGAGCCTAAAACCAAAATTATTTATCTGGTTGTCATGGCAATTTTTATTCGAAATTCGTTACCGGTCTGATGTTTTTACTCCATACTTTCACATAAATACTCTTTTCCTCTTGGCCATTTACAAAAATTTGCTTTTAATTTAAATAATTTCAAATTTAATTTAAATAATTTCCCGTTCTTATCCCAGATCCGTCAAAAGTATAAAAGCCGAACAATCGGCCAATAAAAAAAAGTCTCGATTCAGCTTTCATACTAGAAGCATCTCCTAAAGGCCTTGGGTAGTTCTTCAGAGACAAAATTTTCGATTTCTATGGATATATTTTCTGTAACCAACTAACAAAACGGCTTGTATTTTTTTTTGGACTGTTTTATCTGTATCTCTATCTGGGACAAAATATATTTTTCAAATAATTGCTGTCTAGGTACAGAATAAAAATATTTGAAGTTTGTTCTTCTGATTCATATAACGCGTCCGTTTGCCATTTTCCGGAACAAAATGGTCGATGTCGCATTTTCCCTTTGATAAATCAATGTAAATAATAATTATATTGAAAGGAAATGAATTGTCCTCCTACAAAAAAAATGGGTATTAGTTATAACTACGTTAGTGTGTTAATAAATAAGTAATTAAGAAGTGTCCGACGTATAATACTGATTAATGTGGCGTAAGCTGCGCTTCACCGTACTTGGTCCGGTAATATTAATGAGAGTCTGGCTTCCTGCGCGGGGGGACGCCAGTCGTGCAACGAACGAGCTAGAAGGCGGACGTGCGGCTTTTTGGCTTAGATCCCGGTGTTACGAAGGTAAATATCTGATTCATCTGTGCTTGGTTCAGGTGGCATTCTGATTACACTGCCTACTTTATAAAATTTATTTTATTGTTTTAAAACTTCAATCTGAGTTTCGTAAGGTGTTCTTGGGTTATAAATTCATGTAAAAAGATAACAATACTAAAGTCTGTATGTATGATGAGTTATGCATGATTGTAGGCAAAATCCTGATTCATCTGTGCTTGATTAATATGGTCAAAACCCCATATAAATCATAAAATGAATTAGTTTTCGCCTCTCCAGCACAAAACGAGCGCTTTTGTTGCCTACTCCTTGTCCAATTTTTGATCGTGTACAAGTCAGTAGTTCTAGACTTATTTACTATATTTACTTAGATACAACCTTTTGAATGAATAAAAAATCACAGGAGTATAAATTTATTCTACATATGACACTTTTGATAGGCCTTAGTCTTAGTTAAGAATTAATAATTATTATTTAGGAATAACAATCACAACTAATAGTGTATTTATTACTAAAAATAATGTAAAGAAATTGAAACTAGTATTATTTAAATGGTACTTTTGACATTAATATTCCGTATTAACAACCATGAAAACCTACTTATTCATTAATCTCTATCTAATTTCTAGCACAAGCTAAAGATCAAAAGAAGGAGAAAAAGAGAATCGCAGAACGTAAAAGGATGGAAAATATAAGAAAAGATCCAGACAAGTATGCTCTGTGGAAATTAAAAATGAAAGAAACATATTTGAAAAGAAAGAGAGAAGGTAAAATCACATCAGTTCAGAATTTGACACCGAAACAACAAAAATTAGCTAGGAAGAAAAGCAGAGAAAGTACTCGAAGATGGTATGCTAAAAATAAATTATTAAAAGAACGTGATATTCATTCAGAAGAGGAAATCATTGACGAATGTGATCCGACAGACGATACCGAAATAAATGATCCTTTAGATTTGAAATTACCATCATCTCCAGAAGTTTCGATTATACCAAGATCTCCGGATATTCCCAGCTCATCACAGGTATTAACTCAGTTTTCACCACATTCTGCACGTATAACAAGATCAACAATAAGACAAAAGAGGACACTTGGAATTGATTTGAACCTAACAGAAAATGAAACAGATATCTCATCCAATGCTGACGTCCATTCGAGAATAATATCGCCTTCACCAAATACTTCGATATCAGATTCACCAAGGACTCCCAGCCCACAAAGTAGCATCGCATCGTCACCACGACGTGTCGTCAGCCCAAAAGTTTATAAAAAAGCTGCACGGGAAACACCTCTTAAAAAGAAATCGCCTTGGAAACATATTTTACGAAAGTTTCAATATAGATATACTAAAGAAATACAATTGAAAGACCAAAAAATTCTGGAACTTAAAAGAGTAAATGAAAATTACCGGAAAAAAGATAAAACGGTTAGAAAAAGATAAACGGGTAACAGACGTGCATAAAAGACAAAAGGAAAATCTATCTGGGAATGAAAAAATACAGATTGTTGTTGAACCCTGTGCTACCGGAATTAAAGAAAATGTCACTATGTATTTTGAAGAAGATGAAAACAGTAGAATGTGCGCGGGAAAAAAAGAATTTGTCACCAAAGGAAAAATAAGAAAACAGAAGCGATATCTTAGCGACAGCTTGCAGAATCTACATAAAAAGTATCTTGAAACCAATCCTCAATACAAAATAAGCTACAGTGCATTTTGCAAGCTTCGTCCATTTTGGGTACGCGTACCAAACGTCAATATTCGTGAAACATGTTTATGTAAAGATCATGAAAATATGGAGTTGGTCGTTGTAGCCCTTCGGAAAAATTATCTGATTGTGAAAAAATCTGCAAATGAGATTCTACAATCACTATGTTGTGATCCTAGGAATGTTCACTGTCTGACTAAGAAATGTGATAGTTGCAAAAATAAGGCCATTAATTATAAAGAATTTGACAATACCAAAGAAACACATTACTTTATTTGGAACAAAGTAAAAAAAACTTATATCAAAGATGGAAAAGAAAAAGCTACGCTTCAAACGATTAAGGCAAAAGTTGCAGCGCATCCCAAAGATATAATCGAACATTTCGAAAACCTGTTAGTACCTTATATGCGACACTGCGGAAATATTATAACTCAATATAATTATACAAAAAAAATTGAAACAAAACCTGAAGCCTGAAGAATGCATCATACATTGCGATTTTAGTGAAAACTATAACACAAAATATGCCTCTGAGATTCAGTCTTTCCACTTTGGCAGTTCCAGACAACAAGTAACATTGCACACCTCTGTTATTTATTACATTAAAGATGGAAAACTGTGTAAGCAGTCATACTGTACTATCAGTGAATGTTTGCGCCATGATGCCGTCGCAATCTGGGAACATTTACAGCCAATTCTCCGATTTCTTGAAAACTAGGTGCCGGACGTAACAACCTTTCATTTTATTTCGGATTCACCATCGGCGCAATATCGTAATCGCAAAATGTTTTACATAATGGCGAAAATGCACTGGTATTTTTCTAGTTTGCGATTATTAGTGTGGAATTATTCTGAAAAAGGACACGGGAAAGGGGCTCCTGATGGTGTCGGAGCAGTTCTAAAACGAACTGCTGATCAAATAGTTGCGAGAGGGAATGACATTCCAAACATTGAAATTCTTGTCAGACACCTAAAAGAACGCTGTCCAGGAGTTATTATAGAAGTCGTTTATGAGTCGGGCATATTAAAGAAAGATATGCTGATTCCCGAAAATTTAAAGGAATTCCGCGGGACCATGAGAACACATCAGGTTGTGTGGAGTGCCAATCAACTTCAGACTTTAGCTATGAGAGAACTTAGTTGTAGCTTGGACAATTGTTCACAAGAAGCCATTCAATGTTCTCACGGTCAACACATTGGTTTTTATACCATAGAAGACATTAATAAACAACAGAGTCATCACTCTGTTATGTTAAACGTCAAATCCGCGGATAAAAGAAAGGTGACATCGAAGAAATCTACATGCAACTCTTTGATCAAACGTAGCCAAATATCTGCTACCGAAATTCAGACTGGAAAAGATACGGATACAACCCAACAAGACCTCGACCTTCCCGATGACGACAGCTTTTGGATGGAGACTTCGTCAATCGATGAAAGACTTATAACTCCAAAATTCACCAGAGATGTCCTATCGACCCCCCCATCAGAAAAGCGTAGATGATAGCTCAGATTCTGACGATGAGGATATTTTTGTGTTTAAAAAGCCTCAATATGATAAGCGGACAAAAGAGTCTCACGGCATTGTTGAAGATATGATTATTCCATCTTCCTCCGAAAATTCAAGATCTCGTCAACAAGAAAAAGGCTTTATGGATGATATTGAAAGCAGCTCCGTCCCTAGCCCAAAGCCAAGAAAATATTTCTTTTAGTACCTATTTAACTTTGACCTTATTACTTATTAGCTAATTATACCTAGAATCTATATTTCTTTGAAAGTTGATAAGGAAGATTATTGTCAAAAATGCCATTTAAAGTTGATCTCATTTTGTTACTTTATTGTTAGGTAGTAATAAATAAACCAATGTGATTGGTAATTTCAATTAATAATTAAGACTGCTATTCTCACTTTACCATATAATACAAGAATTATTATAAATACTGGAGTTTAAAAATATTTTTACAAGAATTCTTGTTTAATTCATCATATTTTTTTCCGTGATATGATCGCTGATAATTGTTTTCATAAAAAAGGTTATTGTTGTTATTCAAATATGATTATTTTCTTAATACAAAGTTTTTTTTATTTTTATTTCTGTTTCTGATTCATCTGTAACAAATTCTGATTCATCTGGGCACAAATATTTGAACGTCGATATCATGAAAACTACTTTATAAAAACGAGTCCCTCATTCAAATATATGTTATCTGGTATACCTTTTTTCATATGAACGTGTGTTACAAAGCTGAAAGTGAAATTAAATTTTGGCCATATGAATCAGTCGGAGAATCAAATTTCGAAGAACTACCCCATTATCCGCACTGCCCCGGGATCCTGTAAGCCTCTGCCCTCACCTGAAGTCGCCGCCTAGCCACGCCTACGCCTCCACCTGCTCCAGACGCTGCGTGTACCTACTCCAGACGCTGCGTGTGCCTACTCCGGACGCTGTGTGTGCCTACTCCGAGCACTGCGTGTGCCTACTCCGAGCGCTGTGTGTGCCTACTCCGGGCGCTGTGTTTGCCTACTCCGAGCGCTGCGTGTACCTGCTCCAGATGCTGCGTGTGCCTACTCCAGACGCTGCGTGTGCCTAGATCAGGCGCTGCGCACCTACCACAGGCATAGCCTGTGCATACTCCGTGATGCTTCTAGTTTGAAACCCCATCATCATTTTCATATATTTTTATCTTTTTAAAATTTTAAATAAATTATTCGTTTTTTTTTTTGTTGTTTCGTTGTTGTTAGGTTAGGTTCTTTAGTTTTTAACTGTCGCTTCACGACATTTTGGCGCCCGACGTAAAAGTTCTTCTCTCTTAATTTTTTTTTCTTTTCTTCACCTTAACTACGCCTTATCCATTTCCTTTTGATTTAATTGCTTTCTCTTTCGTTCTTAACTCTTTATTTACTCATCCTTATCATATCTTCCAAATTCTAAAACAAAACTTCATCTAGTTTTTCAACTTATCTGGATTATATTTAGACCTGCATATAACACTTCACTTACATTCATCACTTTAATATTTTTATTATCGATAACTTAGAGGTACAATTTTTAATTAAATTTTTATTTCTTAAACTTAACTTTGCACTTAAAACAATGAAAAGGGTTATTAAGTACGAATTCCTTAAGAAGGCCGAACTCGAATACGGAGTGAAGATTAGATGTAAGGAACCAGCTAATACTGTTTTGCATGACACTACATTTGTATATATGTTTATTTGTATGTTGTAAATTTTTATATGTTTGTATATTTGTATATATGTTTGTATATATGTATAATTATTACCTGATTAATTTCTTTATCTTTATCTTCACTCAGGAGCGGATGACAACTCCTTAAATAAGCCTGAATGTCCTTTCGAAAACACACTTTTAGAGTGGTAGTCATTGAATGTGAACTCCACCCTTACCTGAATGCAGATGATGAATGTAAGAGATAGTATATCTGATTTTGCTTGGTGATGTCTGTTACTGCAACGCTTTGTTTTTATGGTTTATTTTAGAATGTACATATCAAAATTTTTGCTGAGTCAAAAATTTTCCAGGGTCGGGGGGGAAAATGTAGTGTTATGCTACTTACATATAATTTTACACTATTTTAAATTTATTTTTCCATTCTGTTTTTGATTTTCTGCATTCGCCTCAAAACTGGATATTTTGCATCACCTTTATTTCCATAGGATCCTGTAACGTTTTTAAACCATAAGAACACAATAACAAATCATTTTCACATCGTATTTTCACGCTATCAGCACTTTTTAAATCAGTGTCAATTGAGTCTACCTTTTTCGATCTTTTATTTAGTTCTCCGTAACTCTGCAATTTCGGGCTTCGTGCGCACTGTTCCGCTACCTTTTTTCCTATATAAATAATATCTCATTTTTCACTTAAATCTTGCCGTTTCTCTATTACGAGCCTAAAACCAAAATTTGACATGTTTTGACATCGTTGTTTATCTGGTTGTCATGGCAATTTTTATTCGAAATTCGTTACCGGTCTGATGTTTTTACTCCATACTTTCACATAAATACTCTTTTCCTCTTGGCCATTTACAAAAATTTGCTTTTAATTTAAATAATTTCAAATTTAATTTAAATAATTTCCCGTTCTTATCCCAGATCCGTCAAAAAGTATAAAAGCCGAACAATCGGCCAATAAAAAAAGTCTCGCTTCAGCTTTCATACTAGAAGCATCTCCTAAAGGCCTTATCCGCACTGCCCCGGGATCCTGCAAGCCTCTGCCCTCACCTGAAGTCGCCGCCTAGCCACGCCTACGCCTCCACCTGCTCCAGACGCTGCGTGTACCTACTCCAGACGCTGCGTGTGCCTACTCCGGATGCTGTGTGTGCCTACTCCGAGCGCTGCGTGTGCCTACTCCGAGCGCTGTGTGTGCCTACTCCGGGCGCTGTGTTTGCCTACTCCGAGCGCTGCATGTACCTGCTCCAGACGCTGCGTGTGCCTACTCCGGGCGCTGTGTGTGCCTAGTCCAGGCACTGCGCACCTACCACAGGCATAGCCTGTGCATACTCCGTGATGCTTCTAGTTTGAAACCCCATCATCATTTTCATATATTTTTATCTTTTTAAAATTTTAAATAAATTATTCGTTTTTTTTGGTTGTTTCGTTGTTGTTAGGTTAGGTTCTTTAGTTTTTAACTGTCGCTTTACGACACACTACACATTGAAATAATACTAGTTTTTACGGAATTTGTCGCGTATATTTAACTTTTTAAATACTCGACGTTTCGAGCGCTTTACAGCACCCATGGTCACGGGGGGGGGGGGGGACTGAGATGTTCAACGTCCAAATGTCATCGGTTAACAGCGGTTACCATAGATTAAAATTTTACTTTTGTTCCGATCTACACAGTATGAACTTATGGTATCTTGAAGTCTTGCAGTTGTATGCTTGGGTTGGGATTTAATTTTATTTATTATAGGATCCCAAGCAGATGGTAGCACCCAGCCATCTTCTCTATTGAAATTAGGATGTTTTTTGATTTCAATAGCCTCGCGAATCATCCTTGGAAGAAATCGGTGTTATTTAGCGAGGATTTGTGGTCTATCAAATCTGATGTAGTGACGCGAGCGATCCTGTACGTGTTCACAGACTGCAGACTTCCCGGAGCGTCGATTCTTCACATCAGCTATATGTTCTTTAACGCGGGTTTTAATTGATCTTTTAGTTTGTCCTATGTAGGAGAGACCACATTCACAATCAAGCTTGTACACTCCTGCATCTTGCAGAGGGATGTTACACTTGACTGATGGTAAAAACTGACCAATCTTCTTCAGCGGCTTGAAGTATGTTTTGAGGGAAGCGTGCTTCAAGATGTAGCCAATCTTGTCAGTGACTCCTCTAACATATGGCATTACAGCAGGTACGCACTCGACTGTGGCCGGCTTCACTCGTTCACTGTGTCGTAGGCGCGGGACCCGAAGCTTGTTGTCATGCAAAACTTGCTTGACATGGTGGAGCTCCGCAGCCAGGTGTTTACTGTCACAGATCCCGAGTGCTCTCTGAAACAAAGATTTACCCACGGTAGCTAACTGTGAAGGATGGTGGTAAGAATCCCCGTTTAAATATCTATCTGCATGTGTCTTTCTATACACAGCAGGGCTCAAGGTGTTACCAGAATTCTGAATTACTAACACATCTAGAAAAGCTAAGGAATTGTTTGCTTCTAACTCCATTGTGAACTGAATTTTAGAATTTATAGAGTTAAGATGGTCTAAAAATGCAGTTAATTATCTAAAGGTAGAATTGTGAAAGTGTCGTCTACGTACCGCTTGTAGAATCTTGGATTTATGGGAGAAGTAAGCAGGGCTTTCTCCTTAAAGTCATCCATGAATATGTCAGCGACAATGGGAGATACAGGTGAGCCACACCATCTACTTGCTTGTAGAACTCCTCCTTCCACAATAGGTAGCCAGATGTAAGGCAGTGTCCGAGTAATACTGCATGTTCTACGGGCATGTTGTTTTCTTCCAGCCTTCTAGTTACAATTGAGATGCAGTCTTCAACAGGTAAGCATGTAAACAAAGACTGCACATCAAAACTGACCATAGTTTCATTGTCTGCCAGATGTAGGTCTTTAATCTCGCTAACAAAATGGTAGGAATCCTTTATGTGTGCTCTTGTATGTCCACTGAGCGGTGAGAGTTTTTTCGCTAAGTGTTGAGCTAATCTGTAAGTTGGTGAATCGATTTGCCTCACTATGGGACGTAATGGAGCATTGGGCTTGTGTATTTTTGGTAACGCATACAATTTTGTGATTTGGCGCACGTAGGTATTATCCATTTTACGTCCAGATTTAATTTTTCGGAGTGTTTCTTTATGAGGTCACTAGTTGTTTTTAGTGTGCTATTTGTTGGGTCGTTTTTAACCTTTTTATAAGTAGTTACATCCGACAAAAGTTCTTGTATTTTAGAATTATAATCTGACGTATCCATGACTACCGTGGCGTTTCCCTTATCTGCGTGGAGAATCGTAAGTTCTGGTTTATT